TTAAGTGTCATGTGTTGAGAACTGTAGATCCACCCCTGTTTACCACCTGTTACCCCCCCAGCAGCAATCATTAAAAGCCTCGACTCTCAAAACCGAGACCGGGAACCACAGATATCCTTCTACCTGTCCATCTCCATTGGTTTCTGCGAGGGTCTTCTGTTAGGCCCTCGGCCCTTGTGGAGCATATGTTCGGTATAATCGGGCAACAGCTGGGAGACCACGGCGCGTGCCTTTTCATTGCTTGTTTCTTGTTCGTCCTTTTGCCACTCGCCGGGCGTCTGCAGATTGGATTGCCTCCGACCAACGTTGCCGATGTGTGATCATTTGCTCACAACGGTGAGCATTTGAAAATGGGTGAGGTGAAGCTGTGAGCATATTGTGAGCATTCCAATCACTCCAATACCAGCCAGGCAAATCAGAAGCGAACGAGGGAGAAATGTCTTTTCTCTAGAAAAGCCGATCTCACTGTGCCCAACATAAGCTTGTCAGGAATAACCATGCCTTTGAAGACATCCATTTCGATGCTTGATATTACTATCAGCAATAACCTTCCTTGGGATAATCACGTGAGATCAATTGCTAAAAGTGCACCCCAAAAACTTGGTTTTCTGTTTCGGGCCAGGAGCTTTTTCCCTTCCAGTCAGCTGAAACTGTTGGATTCTGTCCAAAGAAGAGCAAATCGTCTCGTGGGTGATGCCTCGCTCACAAACTCACTCACTTCTCTGGAACATCGTAGAAAAGTTGGCGATCTGGCTTTATTTTATAGATATTTTCATGGACGATGCTCTTCTCAGATATCAATGATTGTTCCTCCCTTGGCAGTCCCCGCGAGATCAACCCGTCGAGTTGAGGCTTCGCACTCCTTCGTGGTCACTTTGGAGATCTGCAGAACATCTCTTTCCGAAGACTCGTTCATCCAACGAACGGCGAGGCTCTGGAGCACATTGTCAAGGAAGGTGTAACGCGAGGCATATAACCTCCAGAAATTTAAGAAGAACACCAATTCCTACCTTATTCCCCTTAGTTTTCACGATGTTCTCGAGCGTTTCTGGTTCATTTCCGGGGTATTTGAACAATCAGACAACGGCAACGCTGCCTCCGACAGCCACTGGAGGGCAAGGAGGGACCCAAGCGTGCATCCAAGGGAGGTAGAGGTGGTAATTTTTGAATAACTCAATTGAAAATTAAATTATACAGGGTGTCCCTAAATGGTATTCACAAAAACTTACCACATAATATTCCTGAAATCAAAAAAATTCGATACCAGCAAACTAACCACAGTAATGCCTTTCTATAATAATATGGACGTAGGGGTCTATGTTCGACGAACTCGCAAGGTATGTCTGTTTAAACAATCTACTTATAATAATAATAATAATAATAATGCCTTCATTGTATGTATATAACAAATGAAATATAAAAAATACATATTATCGACTTATCAGACCAGAAAGAGGCGAGATTTAGCCCAAGAACATAAATTAAATATTGCTGACGAAGATACTTCATGATAATTTATTTACTTTTGTCAAGTGTGCCATGAATAATAATTCATTTACTTTTGTAAGCACTTCCAGAAAAAAAAATATTTCTACGAATCTAACGATACTAATTTATTTGCTCTTGAAGCTTATGTCACTGTCATAACCTAAGTGAGTGTTTTGTTCTCCCGAGAAGACTTGATCGAAATAACTACAAAATATTATGCATCATGCCTATCCTCGACACACTTGACAACGGAAAGTGCTAATGAAAAAATGGTCGCCATTTGAAAAATAATAGTTAGACACGAAAATGTAATTTTGCCAACTTGTCTTATTCATATGTATCATACTTATCACTAGAACTTCGCGATTGTAATTTTCTGATATCACCTGAGGTCCTTAGATTAGTTTACTTCCGATCATGCGGCCACCTAGATGTAATTCCAAAAGTGACTCCGAAAAAATTAAGTGAGCATAAGAACTCTCGAAAATGTCACATTCTGATCTAGAATTGTCTCAGAAATCCAAAAATGTTACAATATACCGGGAAGTGAAAAATACGTGAAAACTTTCCTCTTCACATACCAATACCAAATCTCATTTTGATATACCTGATGGTCCAGAAGTTATGACTTGTTTAATAGATTCGTTGACACCCGGTATACTACCACAAAAGTACAATTCATAGTTTATGAATTTCGTATTCGTATTTGGAATTTTGAAATTATATAACTTTTCATCGTAGTAGGCTATATTAATCTTTGAGAACTTTTACCACCCTGTATCTCAAAAGTTAGAACGTTTAGGCCATACGTTCATATGAAACTTTGTTCTAAGAATAAGCCCAATAATCGCTTCCTCGAATATTGACATTCAATTATGAAACACCCTGTTTATGAGTTATCTCGCTACATTATGTTTACGATGAACAACCGCCCTCTGAATCATAAAGTAAATTATATACATAACATAACATTACATTACATAATTATTGATGAATATTTACCCCCTTCCAAAACTGAATCCTACAGATGCGCTACGGGCAGTGGAATGCTGAATAGAACCCAGTCACTTTAAACCTAACCTTACCTTTCATGGAAATTAGGGAAGCACAGTTTTCCTTGACCAAAATCCAGAATCATCATCACTTTTAGAATCTTATGGCTGTCCGTGGTTACAACTACAGCAGATGCAGACGAGAACATGATCCTTCACCAAAACTGTAAATTGTTTAACAAGCTCCTCCGCCAAAATTTGAATTTACTTCATTCTAGCTTCGGGAGTATCACCTAGTATACATAAGTTATATCTTCAATTATTAATTGAGAAGTAACCCAAATTTACACGGTATAGGTATGTGTAGGTCGATAAGGTATACAATGTTATTTTAATTGTATCCCTATGTTGAACGTTCTCCTAGCCCTAGCTAGAGTAACTATAGAGCTCCCGCCAATATATTAATTTTGTTGTGTACCCTTCGATCATTAAACAAACACCAAAGTTTGTGCAAACTTGACGGCTTTATATGTACAAGATACAATGGAAGTCTGCTCAAAGTCCTTGAGAGAACTTAGTGAATTGAACTGATTTCCTTTACAAATCCAAATCGGATTGAATTGTTCAGTTTCCAACATGGTATCACGATATTTGTTGAAGTAAAATAAATGGGAATTATTAAAATCGACTAAGCGAATACTTTTTGTTCGATTCGAGTAAACAAGACAATAGAGGATGCAAATACATTATGTAAATAAAAGAAAATTGAAATTTCTGAGGGGCACATAATATGCCAATATGATGGTAATTATAGCATGTATTTTCTGTTTCTGAGAGAAGCAAATTTCGAATTTCTATTTTGTTTGCGTTTCACTGTGTTATTAGAAGACTTCAGCAATCAGCATATGCAAATAAGACAGAACATTTCGCATTTAGAAAGAGAAAAGTATCAAAATATAAGGATATTAACAACATGGCACAAAGGCTTTCAAACACAATGATACAGTCGATATAGGGATCTCTTCAGTATCTGCTTGACCTCTCCTCTATTCTACAATCGTTGAAAATTAATTATAAAGTGATAGAATGCCTTTGATTGTTGAAAGTTATCTGTTATTATCGTGATAAATAAATATCGATGGAGATATCAGGAAACCACTACCTACACATAACTAAATCAATGATGAGTTAATTTTTTTATATCGAATCGGTGTTGTGTCGTCAGACCCGCAATACTGAGTAGAGTTTATCTCCAGTACGATATTCGAATAAACATCATCACGAAATTGGCGATCGAGATTTTTTTGTTTTCCAATACTTTGTGACAAGTCAGAAAAGAAAATAAGGAATTGAACAGTACCTATCTTCAATTCTCTAGATTCTCAAGAAAATCACGAGCAAAAACATTATCGTAACTTCCACTAGCGAATCCAAGCTTCTTGCCTTATTTTAGAAAGTTCAAAAGTATTTCTATTAGTTCCTATTGCAGAAGAAATTCTGAAGAGAAATGAAAAAATTTCAAAATGAAAAGTATATGAGTGACTATACAGGAGCAATTACTAACCTACCTGAAAAATCTGATTCCTTCGTATCGCGCTGCATTTTTTGTGCATTTTACAAAAACACAATGTGATGGTATACTTGAATGAATACATATCACAAGAAACACGATTCATGTGCCAAAATAATTGTGAAGAACCACTACTTTTTGAGGTTAGGTAATTCCGATAAGACTTCAAATGCTATATACCTTGTGAAAGTGATCACTCTGTTGTATGCCATGGATTTATTACATAGAAATGATATACATTTGTTACAGTCAAATGGAAAATGACGACTACGATGTTTCTTCTGAAATATTTGAAGAGGTCGACTGCGACATCAAATGAACAAATCAATTCTAAAATTAGTCAATTGCCAAACACAATCTAGTGTGAAATTTTCTTACCGAATACCACACGAGGTCAAATTATTCCCGGAAAATTATTCGAGCCCATGGATATTTTGGAAATTATTTCGAGTCGACAAAATTTCGGAAAATAATTTGACTTTTAGTGGTATTACAAGTGAAAATGCAAAACACGTCAGCACGTCAGACCAGTCCTTCCGTTTGTCTGCACGAATCCAAGCTTCTTGCCTTATTTTAGAAAGTTCAAAAGTATTTTTATTAGTTCCTATTGCAGAAGAAATTCTGAAGAGAAATGACAAAATTTCAAAATGAAAAGTATATATGAGTGACTATACAGGAGCAATTATTTACCTACCTGAAAAATCTGATTCCTTATTCGTATCTCGCTGCATTTTCTGTGCATTTCACAATAGGACAATGTGATGGTATATACTTGAATGAATACATATCGCAAGAAACACGATTCATGTGCCTGAATAATTGTGGAGAACCACTACTTTTTGAGGTTAGGTAATTCCGATAAGACTTTCAATGCTATATACCTTGTGAAAGTGATCACTCTGTTGTATGCCATGGATTTATTACATAGAAATGATATACATTTGTTACAGTCAAATGGAAAATGACGACTACGAGGTTTCTTCTGAAATATTTGAAGAGGGCAACTATGTGACATCAACATCAACAGAACCAAAAATACATAGCAGTTGTAAGTATCCCACCTACCTCAACTGTCTGTAATGACTCTATACACATCATCATTCCAATGAAAGTATAATCTACTAACTACAGCAAGTATTGTAATCGCCTATATTTCAAACGAACGAGAAGTTTGTATACGAATTGTGAGTTTGGAATAAGTCATCACGAACTTACAAAATCATCCAACAATTACCTTATTTGAATGTTTCATAAACATTATCCACAATTTTCTCAATTTGTGTATCTCATAATTTTGATAATAGTTATTTATACTACACCAATGTAGTAAAGAATATCATTATCACCCAGGGACCCAGATTATTTCCCGAGGCTTCAGCCGAACACTGAAAGAACAGTTTGATTATAATAAATAAATATGATTAACTGTTACCAAATCCGTTATTGAAATATGGCTCATTGAACGTTTGTTTGAAAAAAACAAATTATTTGTTCGCCTCGTGCATAATTTCATGAAAATATTAATAATAATAATAATAATAGAATAATAATATGGTTTTTATTGCTGCTGCAACACCTTTTTACATTATATGTGGAAATAAATGAATACATAAATATATAACTATATACATCATATGAATCATATATATAAATCGTGAAATGCGGTGGCTGCATAGCAAAGGCATTTGTAAACTGAGAATATACACTCACTTCCAAAAAAAGTGACGCACTTGATATTTGACCTATCTTCTTGAAAAAAAAAATAGTAGGCCGATTTTTATTTTCTTCTTATTTGTTGGTAGGTACTGCATTTGTCTTTGAAAAAAAAAAAAATAAAGAGGTGACAATTTTTTCAAAGCCTCCTTGATGGTGGTGGAATAACTCGAACCATGATTCATTCTTAATTTTTGACTCACCCTGTGTGTTGATTGAGTAATGGTATTGTCGCAACTATATTATTTGGCAAACGGCATGTCCACCGCATGTCGCAACTCAAATGTTGCCCTCCTATGGATCGCAACTTGGCTACTCGCTTGTCTTGATGAGAGGATTTTAATCATTCCACCACCCAACCATATTCATCCCCAAATGAAGAGTCAAGATAGTTTCCGTATAAAATTAACATTTATTGATTTAATGGGAACGTCGTGAATAAATGCTTGCCACATGGCAAAGTAGCAGAGACAAACCATAGTGAATTACCAAACGGAACACAACACAAAACGACAATTCAGATAGAACATGGAAAAACAGTACTTACATTAGGACATCTAACATGGGGTTGACCAGCAGGATCAAAGTCGGGAGGACGGTACACTTTTTGGCAGTAACTCGTGAATAAGTAACTCAATTACGGAATAAAGTAAAGTGTTATCGAAATGCATTATAATTAGTAATGAATAATCAATAATAGTGAATGATCAGTAATTGAGAAATGGATGATCAATAATAATCAAAATCATTAATGAATGGCTTATCGATTCCGAATCTATTTATATTTGGAATCGATGCTAACATTGCAATTTTCCGCAATGGCAATGCTCGATACCGGGCGTATAGCTTAGCCCGCATCGCAAGCTAAGCGGTTTCATGCAAATTTTACCGGAACTAGAGTCTATGAACTCCGCTTTGACCTGATCGAAACGCTGTACAAGATGTTTTAATTTGGAAAAGTTAATTCATGAATAAAGATCTACAAATGAACGAAAGTTATTTCATAGACATTTGTACATCTTGACAGTATACAAAGTGCTCACACCCTATACGAAAGAGGCTTCCTTTGTGAGCACTTGAAGAAAAAGAGAGTCATAAGCGCTCGTATAAAAAAAATATGGGTGTAAGTGTGTTCTTGACCCCCCAGTATTTTGAATATTTGACAGTTATTTTCTGTTTTGTTTTCCTCACACGATGAAACTCTTTGTGCCGAAGTAATGTACCAATTTTGAGATTGATATCTTCTTAAATACGCGAGTAATTAGAGAAAAACAGTTTTCAATTTCCAACTTTGACACCCTGTATATCGAATATGAAGGGCTTAAATGAAAAATGGTATTCAGAAACTCATATCGTTTTTGTTCAAGGAATATATGGTTAATGGATTGACCTCCTTTTAGCAGCGGACACCCTGTATAGAGGACAATATGGAATAGGTCCATTATCCTTATTCATTACTCTATTACTATTCTTAAATATCTCTAATCTTTCATATGCGTCTAATTTTCTTATATTATTAACTTGCTTAACTAATTTGAGGTAAGTTATATGTGTGTTATGATTGTGATTGAACATATGTTCGGCTACACAAGATTTATCTGACCTGCCATATTTCAAATGGGCTATGTGTTCTTTGAACCTTGTTTTTATGGGTCGCCTGGTTTGGCCTATATATGTTCCATCACAATCATTAATGATTCTCCTGAAGATGCTAACATAGTTGGGGAAACACGTGTCGAGGCGTTTAAAAAATCAGTTTGGAATGTTCGGATTCTCAAATAATCCTCACACATTGCAGCAGTCAGTCCATGATGAAAGCACAATACACTCACTCAACTAATAATATATCATCAATACCTACTCGATGAACCTGCTCTTAATTCATAATATTTCTATTTGAAACTTGAACAAAATCATAAATATGCCGAAAACATGACATTCGTGACATATCGAGACAGATATGTCAAGTTCAAATGTTTCCGCACGGATTATTTGTTGCGCCCTGTCTCTTTTGCGTCCTGTCTCTAGATGCTTCTTATCAGCTTTTATTGAATTGGTGCATCATCAACGGCACTCTTCATGTCATGAAAGAAAGAAAACACATTCTTGATAGTCTAGTTCAACTTCACAATAAGATTCGAAACGCATTTTGAAAATTTTAAAGAAATTGTCCATCGTCCAGTAGTTTCATCAGGTGCAATAATGGTACAATTGACTAACTCACTTCTTTGTAACATTACCGTAGAAAGGGAATACTTGGAATATTATTCAGATACCAATACACGTGTCAAAGTCATTGTTCATGGTAGGGAATCTCTTCCTATACTAAAAAATGTAAGAGCTGATTTAAAAACTCGAAACATTATGATTGAGATTGTTCCATTCTTACATAATTTTTCTGAGAATTCAAACTTTCCCGTTATTCGAGAAAATATTAATTTGAGTAGTTTAAATATTAATGTGTGTAGGAGGAAAGCACTTTTCTACAAATCACTTAGATCCCTTGATGAACATTTATATTGCGTCGTCAAATGTGCAACTAATTTTTCATTCCATACAAATTGAGAGGAAACATCTCAGATTTATAGCAGTTGGGAAATGGAAGTCACAAATTTACAAGTCAAGTAAAACGCCAACTTCCGACTTCCTGCTGGAACAGCATTTCAGTTCCGGAAAGTGCGATGAAAGCGACTCTTCTTCTAGAGAATGTTTTGAAGTTTAAAATATATAAATTACCCGACATGGGAAAATGGGAGATGAGAGATGTGCTCGATGATGCACTAGAAAATTCATCGTTTGAACTGGGAGTCTTTCATCACTATATCTGTTGCTATTATACAGGGCGATACTGGGTTACAGGGGCTCCAAGTTGTGTAATCAAAAATTTGTAGAATGTTATCGACAATCTTACCCAAACAAGCTCTCGCGATTTTTTGACTCCCCTGATTCTCGATTGTTCGCCATGATAAAAGTTTTATACAATTATACATGTATTTTTTCTGTGACGGGAAAAAAGTTTGGCATTTCATCTCTGTTGGCAGGTTATAAAATGTCACTTTTCATAAATTACTTTTTTCCCGTGGGAAAAAAGTGAGTACTTTTTTCCCGGATATATATCACATATATATACTCTGTTAATGGCTTTTGTTGTGCTATAGTTCCGAAAAATGAGTCAATAATACCGTCTCCGAGAAAGAACTGCAAGTCCTTTTATCTTCCATTCGACTTCGCGGTTTCGTATATTACTAAACAACTACTGAATTCGCAATTTTTCAAAATCAAATCACAGAATTGAACTGACAGAAAGTGACATCAGATATTTGATTACTTCAAAAGAATGATAAAGATGTCTATAAAACGCAGGTGTCCCTACTGTTAAAAACTTGAAATTTCACGTCGATAATTTTCAGATTTCGAAATAATGTAATATCTTCTTAATATTGATTCGTCCTTCCTTCTGTCACAGAAAAAAATAGTGTATTATACACGGGAAAAATATTAGATTTTAGCTCACGGTTTTTTGTCTCCCTCCGCTACGCGTCGGGAGACAACACAACCTGGAGCTAAAATCTACTACTTTTTTCCCTTGTATAATAAATAACTATTATCAACAGTAAAAATACAAGAGCCTTTTTTATCGGATGAATTTTTCTTGGTAACGAGAAACATTAGCTGAACATAGTAGAGGTTCAATCGTTTTTTCGCAGCATTTTAATGATTGAATATTGCGACCCATTACATATCTTAGAGGGGTCCCTTACATTCACGAATCCACTTGTTGGACATCCCAGATACGTGTCATTCACCCCCTGCACCTCCTAAAAGGGTGAAATTTTCAAATACCTGTATCTTTGTTATCAATCATGTTACGGAGTTAAAAAAAAATCGTGAATTGCCTACAAACACTTTCTTTTTGTTCTATATCAGTTTCAAATCAAATTTACAGGCATCATGACACATTCATTTGAGTTCATAATTTCATTTTCACATTTTTTTGTTTAAATGGTGAATTCATGAACGATACGAAGTCCTAACTCAAGAAAATCCTGTGATAATAGTTCATTCACTCACTTTACATAAAATGAAACGAATGTTCGGATTTTCAAATAATCCTCACACATCGCAGCAGTCAGTCCATGATGAAAGCACAATACCCTCACTCAACTATAATAATATATCATATTAATACCTACTCAATGAACTATTTATGCTCTTAATTCATTATATTTTTATTCAAAATTTGAACAAAATTATAAATATGCCAAAAACATGACACTCGTGACATATCGTGACAAATATGTCAAGATCAAAATGTTTCCGCACGGATTATTTGTTGCGCCCTGTCTGTTCTGCGTCCCTTTTGGAACTTGGAAAATCTCGATTTTTCACACCCTATATCTCAGTAATTATAATTGCTAGACCCCAAGCATGATGAAACGTTGAAATCAAACCTTCAGAGAGAATCTCAAAATGCAAAATTTATAGTGTGTTTCATCAAAACAAGTATTACTTCAGTGTATTGTGATTTTTTGGAAACACCCTGCATGTTTGTAAATAATTTCAAATGGCATGCAACTTCCTAGAGAGGAAGAATTCCAAGAAGATGAGTGTTCTAGACCGAGACGTTTCTGGTGGCCCACCCTGTATACACGGAAAAAATTAAATTGTTGAATCAAGCAAAATTCAATTGAATGGAGCAAATAAAAGTGTCATATATGCACGACAAAATATAATCTTGAAATGAGTAAATCTATATCTCGTTTTAGAGCGAATTTGAAGTTTGAATCAAGTAAATATCTCTTGCATGAACTCTGGATCTTCTTCAATCAAGCACATCCATGAATTGTTTATGAAGAGATATTGAATTGCTCAAACAATCATTTTTTTATTCAAAATAACAAGATATTGATTCAATCAAATATTTAGTTGATTCAACGAAATATTTGGTAAATTCAATGAACTATTTTGTTGATTCAAGAGAAACTATACAGGGTGAGTCATGACTAACCAGCCATAGCCTAATGGCGGATAGCGGAGGTCAAGGTGAGTTGATATATATGTGAACAAATATTTTTTGCCTATTATTTACAGAAATACAGGGCATTATTTGAATTCGGGGCAAAACTTCAATGAACGATATTTCAGGAACATCTCGATGTTATCGGCTGAAATTCACTAGCAACTTACCTCTACTGACACTCCACAAGATGACGTACTATGAATAAAAAATTCCAGATCCGGACTTGGAAAACTCATTTTCTCTTTAGATGTCAAAATTTTGACCTTCTGGATCGGATTTTTCGGAAACTTTCATCAGAATCAGAAAGATCAGGAAAAATACTACAAGTATGGCTTCTCAATTCGTACGGCACACTTCGATCGTTTTGGTAAAAAAATTTCAAACAAAATACCTATGAATTTTTCTTCGATTTCGTCCGGCCATATCATTCTCTAAATTCGACTGAAAGTAATTAAATCAAATTTTTTCCTGGAATGATTCAACAGCAGACTTGAGAAAAGGTTTAATTCAATAAAAAATCCAGGACCGGACTTGATTTTGGATAATAACAATTATAATTTCCGAAAAAGATTTATCTGGATCTTAATATTAACCAAGATTATTTTGAATCATCCGAGAACAGTTTCGAGAATTTTATTTACGGACGAATCAGTTTACGCGCGATGGTATAACCAATTTGAGGAATTCCCACATATGGGCACATGAAAATCCTCATGCCATTGTTCAAAAGAATTCACAGCAATAGTTTTCCCTAAATGTATGGTGTGGTGTGGTGGATGACGTTTTGATAGGGCCTTATTTTTTCGAGGCACGACTGACAGGGGACTTATATCTGAATTTTCTTCAGAACGTTCTGCCCAATTTGTTGGCGGCGCAAAATGTGAATGAGAGAGGTCTTTACTTTCAACAGGATGGGGCACCTCCACATTTCTCAGTACAAGTGAGAGAATACCTGGACACCCATTTTCCTAACCGCTGGATAGGTCGTGGCGACCCTCATTCTTGTCCTCCTAGGTCCCCTGATCTCACAGTTTTGGACTATTTTCGTTTGGGGCATATGAAACAATTGGTCTATCAGACTGAAGTCAACACCAGAGACGAACTGAGGGAGAGGATAGGTACAGCTGCAGATATAATCAGAAATAATAGGCAAATTATTGGAAAAGCCATAAGAGGTCTCCCGAAGAGATGCAGAAAATGTTTAGAAATTGGAGGAGGACATTTTGAGAATCTTGATTAATATTAAGATTCTGACAATTTTTTTTCGGAAATTATGATTGTTATTTTCCAAAATCAAGTCCGGTCCTGAAATTTTTATTGAATTATACCTTTTCTCAAGTGTTCTGTTGAATCTTTCCAGGGAAAAATTTGATTTAATTACTTTTAGTCGAATGTAGAGAGTGATATGCCCGGACGAAATCGAAGAAAAATTCATCGGTATTTTGTTAGATATTTTTTTATCAAAACGATCGAAGTGTGCCGTACGAATTGAAATGCCATACTTGTAGTATTTTTCCTGATCTTTCTGATTCTGATATAAGTTTTTGAAAAATCCGATCCAGAAGGTCAAAATTTTGACATCTAAAGAGAAAATGAGTTTTCCAAGTCCGGACCTGGAATTTTTCATTCATATTACGTCATCTTGTGGAGTGTCATTAGAGGTAAGTTGCTAGTGAATTTTAGCCGATAACATCGAGACGTTCCTGAAATATCGTTCATTGAAGTTTTGCCCCGAATTCAAATAATGCCCTGTATTTCTGTAAAGAATAGGCAAAACATATTTTATTATATATATATCAACTCACCTTGACCTCCTCTATCCGCCATTGGGCTATGGCTGGTTAGTCATGACTCACCCTGTATATCCATTCGACAAATTGTTTTGTTGAACCAAATTCAATATTCGGGAATTTTCTGAAATTTCACATCATACTAGAATAAACAAAACTAGGAAACTAGTCGACTTCTAGCATAGATCTTTAGTCTTTACTTCTCTTCAGCTGATGGAAAGCTATTTCGGATTGCTAATCATCCTAAGTTCGATTCATCTAGCTGATATTTCAAACACGAAGAATCAGGCTTCACGTATATAATGAACTCGAGGCAGGCATATAGACGAGGAGAAATGATCGCCATCTAGAGGCGAAAATTTAAGTTGATGTAGGATGAACAAAATATTCCATTGATATTACATATTTCATTGCTCTATTCAAGCAAATGATCCGTTCGAGACGAGTTCATTGCTACATCGAAATAAGAAAACTTGTATGTTGTTTCGAAGATATATTCTCATCACAATGATCATTGTTTGATGAAATCAACGAAATGTTTATAGTTGAATCAACATCGACATTATTTTGGATCGACATTGTGGTCATTATTCTTGACATTGATGAAATAGAGGTTTATTTCATCAATTTCTTGCCTTTCAAAAAAGTGTTCTTTTTATTATTCGTCACTAAGCACTCATGTGGCTTTCTAAGCGATTCCTTCCATTTCATCCGTGACTCATCCTTCTATTGTTGTAGATGTCGTTTCCACATTCAATTTCCTGAGGCCCCAAATCGAAGTTTTTGTAGACTCCGATGGCGACTTGAACGTCCCTCGAAGAAAATCCGAACCCGTGAGCGACAGCGTGGAAATAGGTAAAGTTGTGTGGAAAAAGTGTTTTGCGAATGCGGCTCACGGCTGAAAGCCTGTGCCCCATACACTGAGAGAAATTATCCGTTGTAAATGCCTAAAGATCACTATACCATACCAAGCACCAAGCGTTGTGGTTAAATTGGCGCCAGTCTCTACATTCATCAAATATAACCACTACAAAATAGTATGATTGAGGCAATATGACATATGGTTTCTGCCTGATAGGTAATTTTCGAATAGCTGTAGGGTGATTCCTCTTACTCCTATGATTTCTAACCGCCTCAGCAAGATTTGATGATTGACAGTGTCAAAGGCTTTCGCCAAATCCAGAAAAACTGTTAAGCACTTTTTCCCAGTATTGAAATTATTCCATATACTGTGAACCAACTGAAATACACCATTTTCGGTTGACATCTGTTCTCTGAAACCATCTGAAACCGTACTGACATTCATATAATATATTATTATTCTCCAGGAATTGAACTAGTCTATTTTTCAAGCTTTTTTCGAAAACTTTGGTGAAATTGTTGGTGATAGTTATTGGCCTATAGTTTGTGGCGAATTTCTTGATGCCAGATCTGAATATTGGAATAGTGAAAGAGTGTTTGAAGGCACTAGGTACATATCCTTGCACATGCACTGCAAACGAAAATTCCATGGGCCAATGAAATTTATTTTATTCATAATTCACAAGTTTAACGCAACAAAAGATGAACTATGAACTGATGAACGAACCACGCCAACGCCAAGCCACATTGAAAAAATCGAACGTCGACGATCGGCTTCGTGATTTCGGCATATTACTCTCTGATGTGGTAGATTTGTACATCACAAAAAGTAAACCTATTATTATTACCGAACGCACTAATAATTAGTGGTAAATAGAAATATCATGGGAGTAACATTCAACACAATCCTAATACCACTACATAAGAGATATTCATTAATTACTGGATATGGAACATGTTATTTGATGTAGAGATGAATAATAATTTGAACTATTAATATTCGGAGGTGGTATACCGATCACTCAAATGGGTGATATCACGCATAGGTATGTGTTGTGTTTGATGAAACTAATTCGAAATCACCATTTAGTTATACAAATTTTCATTCATTTTCTCAGTGTAGTATTCTGTCCACCCGTCGAACGATTTTGCATAGACAATTTAATTCAATTATTAAAAATCCCATGTAGACCAGTGCTGAAGCCTTTGAAAACGGTAAAATGTGAAGACAAATCAAAGTAGGATGCATCTCATTGAAAAAGAAAGAGAATATAACAAAGATGAACGGGAAGATAAATTACAGGCGATCTGAGGTCGGGAAGGAGTTTTCAAGGGTAAAAAACGGTTTAACTTGATTTCCAGCAAAACTACGAGCCCTATGGAAAAAAGTTTAACAGCAAAGTTGTAGGTAATAAAGAGACGTACAACTTTTGTGCTCACTTTTTTGTGAAAAAATTTTTTATGTGAAAAATTCAAATAAGTAATCAAGTTTTTGGTTTTTATTTTTATCTTATGCAAAAAAAAATTCCACGAAATTTGGTCAAAACTTACCTTTTTATGTCCTAAAGACACTGCAATTTTTTTGATTTGAAATATTCTTTTCTTCCCTTATATTGACTTATTATCGAAAACACACCCTAATTTTCAATCGAAAATTGTCGTGTCAAAATATCAGATTTTAAAGAAACTCGAACGTTTTTTGTTCGTTGGAATCTGCTCTTTCAGATAACGTTAGAAAATATATACATTACTATGGTAAATGTTCTCAGAAAATGCGAAGAAAAGAAAAAACTCGAATCCGATTTTTTTTTAATAACTATGAACAATTTTGAGTTATTTTGTAGAATATTCACTTAAATTACTTGAAAAACGTAAGATGTCACATCGAAAAACAAAAAAATTACAAATCCATAAATCATAAAGATTGCAAGAAAATGCGAAAATAGTTGTTCTAGATATGAAAGATAGGATTTAAAAGGTGGATTTCAATAAAAAAATGTGATTGCTGCATTTTTTTTTAGTCAAAAAGTTGATTTATCAAATTCTAATTACATTTTTTATCATATAAAATCTCATAATATATGAATAGAAATGTAAATCGTACTATTGAATTCAGATACTTTATACTGATTATTATTATTCATAATAATAATTTTAAATGCATTTATCATCTTATTTATAAATTTTATCTTGAACCCTAATCACTTATTCATTACTTTTTGTCTCTTCGGTGGCATTTCTTCATCCTTAAATTCAACAAACCTTCCCGATTTTAGTAGATCTTTGAAAGAGTCAAGACCATCACCGTCTTCGTATCCAATATTATCTTTTGTCTGAATTGGTCCTTCATCCACGATTTCATCTGAATCATTAACTTCCTTTTTCTACTCACATAACTAAAATGGCATTTAGCGTACGGATATGTACCACTCTAAATGATCGATTAATCACGGATTGTCGATCTGTGATTTATTCAAAATATTAAACACATTACCATGGCAACACTATTTCTTAAACACATTACCATGGCAACACAGTTCATTAAACACAGCTTCAGTAATTTGAGACATGTCTGGCCTGTCAATTGTATTAACTGTCAACTGTTATTTTCGAATTTTGTATCAGAATTATTCAAACAATATTCGTTTGTATCAGAATTCTTCATTAAAAATATATAAAAGTATAGACGAAAGTGAAATCGGAGACAATAAACGTGAAACAAAGGTTAGTAAGCAATGGACTGGACACATCTACAACCAATATCACTTATACGTGTCTCGCTGGTTGCATGCAGTTGCATGTATTATGTTCTCAATTCCCATTCCTTTCGAATCATTTGGTAGGTTAGCAGGAATTGCAGGTATGTTAATGTAATTTTCGGAGTTCGTAGAAAAATCATAGTTCGTTTATTAAACACTCGCTCCGCTCTGCTCCGCTCGTACTTAAACTACTCGTTACTAAAAGGACGTTTATAACACTTGTTACATAATATACTATTAAATCCTATTTATACACGGTATTTTCCGGACTTGTTACGTAAATTACCATTAAGGGCGCACCGTTTTCAAGAAAAAGTCAAAAATATTTCTGATGGTTGTTTCGGTATTTTATTTTCAATTTTTTTTCACAACTCCCTTCGAATATTTAGTTGGATAATGTAAAGATGTGAATTATAGAACACATGAGAAACACAGTTCTCAAAATGGTGGGCCTTCAAATATGGCGAGGAGCATTCCTTGTAGCAGATTGGCTAATAGCGAACCACCACACCATTCCCAAAGGTTCCTACATTCTGGAATTGGGATCCGGGACCGGTTTGACCGGCATAGTAGCTTCCATGTTCTTTCCAGTCATATGTACAGGTATGAATTCCCATCCGTAACTGATTTCTTCGCCTCCTTGATAATTTCATGGAGTGGCGTAGCCAGAAGTTGGAAGCGAAAGAGCCATAAAGCTTGGTTTATTAATCCTTCCATTAAGTTCTGCTTGGGAAAATTGAATTTATACTTGATAGTCATCGTTAAGCATGGAAAGTGAGGGTTTCTCCTCATATTGTCATCCCCTACCTACAGCTTCTACTATACGAGGTGGAAAAAAACTCAGTTTTTTTTAGTGGAACCAAGCACTACTAAAACGTTTGCAATAATTTTGGAAAATTGTTGATATTTTCAAATTGGGCATAAGAAGTTTGCTAAAATACAAAATTTGGTTATTCTATCACAGAGGGTTTGGAAACTTGTTACGTTAAGAGTTTTTTTATTAACTTCATATATATTTAAATATGGGTAATTGTTGCTTTCAATTCAAATTTGTATATTTGGTACGTTCACAAGGTTGAAGTAAAAGGTTCCGCTCACAACTAGCTTCTAAACAGGGAGAGAGGGGTGAGTCGTAGAATTTTACCGGGTGATGTGATTTTCAGGGCGCCAATAGATTCACATACATAACCCATATACAGTGTGTCCCACTTACCATGCTCACCATGGGTATCTTTTAAACGGTGAGAGATACGAGGTCGGTTAAATGACACCAAATGTGGAGTTTTTCAAGGCCAACTATAATGTGAAAAAAAATTTGATAAAATCTATTCGTTTTTGTTTTATACGCAAAAAACAGATTTTGATCATTTTCATGTCTCCTCCGTAACTTCTTTATTTATGAAAATATTCAAATAGGAATTTCACATTCTCATGGCAGTTTTTCAGAGTGATTTCGAAAAAAATATGAAATTTATACCAACTCTTCTAGAATTTGGGATATCAGCACCAACTTTAGTTTTTCAAATGTAGGTCACTATGACTTAGCTACAAATAACTTTTTTTTCTCTTCCAGATGATATGTCGCATTTTTGTTGAAATTAAAAAAAATGGCTGCTCCAAGATGGCGGACAAGATTTGGTTCGATTCCATTCAAAATTGGTAAGTGGGGGTTTTTGAGGTCGGAGATCATGATTTTTTTGTTAAAATTTATAAATTCAAGATGGCGGCTTCCAAATAATTTTTTGTTCTTGTATAAATGACGATAACTCCGTTGTTATCAACACAAAACTATTACTGCGACATATCATCTGGAAGAGAAAAAAAAGTTATTTGTAACTAAGTCATAGTGGGCTATGACCTACATTTGAAAAACTAAAGTTGGTGCTGATATCTCAAATTCTAGAAGAGTTGGTATAAATGTCATATTTTTTTCGAAATCACATTGAAAAACTGCCCTCGAAACTGCCATAAGAATGTGAAATTCCTATTTGAATATTTTCATAAATAAAGAAGTTACGGAGGAGACATGAAAATGATCAAAATCTGTTTTTTGCGTATAAAACAAAAACGAATAGATTTCATCAAAATGTTTTTTCACATTATAGTTGGCCCTGACAAACTACACATTTGGTGTCATTTAACCAACCTCGTATCTCTCACCGTTAAAAAGATACCCATGGTGAGCATGGTAAGTGGGACACACTATATACTTAACAATTCAAGAGTAATCGAACCTATAAAATTTACTCTATAATAGGAGTAAACAAATATGTCTATCTAAAATGAACCCTAACAGGTAATAAAAGAAGTCAATTCGGTATATAATCAGTATAATAGTGAAAGTGAGTGATTTCTTGCACCAATCGAACAACCTAGGTTATTAAGCCTAATACTAGATAACTACTTAGATACATAGTTTCCAGGTACCCGTATGACTCTCGAGAGAGGGAGCGAACAAAATCAAAAAGTTTGCCCCGTCCTTTATATACGGAACTCTCAATCCATTCAAAAAACAAAATCTATGATTACACCATTGTACGATAACCCTATGCTTGGCTTCGCTAAACGCTCCGCCTCGCAAATGCAAAATTCGCTTGTCAAACAAAGTGTCACTTCTCATCCTAATAAAACAATCTACTATTATTCTTGATGACATAGTACATCCGTTTTAGTTCCTAGGAGCTAAAATTGTTGCCTTGCAACATACCTATGTTTGTGTCAGTAATAGAAACGTCAATTCAAGAGCTAATTTTGGTATCAAAATGGAAGACTTCTGTGTCGGTTGCAAAAAAGATCTATATTTTGATACCAACATTGTTTTTCCCTTTCCTCTCTGACCCCTTCTTCTGGCTACGTCACTGACTTTATATCCTCTAATAACGCTTCCGAGAAATCTAACAGCTGTCCTCCGATGGATAAACGGCGGTTTATATCTTTTTGACGGTCTCGTGAAATGCTCAGTAGAAATACTCTTTGCAGACGTCGATAGGGGAGATATCCTTGGCCTGATAAGGAGCAACGTGAAAAGGAACTCGAATTTATGTCGGCATCCAGTAGAAGTTGTCGAGCTGGATTTCATGACGACGGATTTACCGCCAGAAGTGGAGCGACATCTGTCGGAGATATCTGTCGTTATCGCTGCAGATAGTAAGTAGGAAATTAGCCGTGAAGTTCCATCAGTTTTACCCCCCATTTTCGTTTAATGACGATACTCTGAAGTGAGATCTGAGATCCTCAGAAGTTATGCCACCTACGACCTACAAGACTACTATTTAGCGCTTAGCCTTAGAGTAACTAGTTGATAAAAAGAGAGATTTACGTCAGTTGTCGACATTGCTACTCCATCCACTTTGAAAGAAGCTTGGTATCATATAATGTATCATTGCATTTTATGAACATCTCATATCGTCGAAACTCAATGACGTGCTAGGTGAACAAACATTGAGTAAATATGCGTTGGTAACTCGGCAACTGCGCTCTGCGATGTAGCCACACGTTTCTCACTGAATGTCGTTTGGTTGAATCAGTAATTATACGCTTCTTCCATACACCCAATCAAATCTATCGCCTACCGGTATGAAGGAAATATTATCCAGTTTCCAGTTGAGAATAAATCAACTAGGAATTTTTCCACTTAGTAGGAGAGCAATAAATCATGATTCATGAATATATTCAGCCAGATGATTTCTGTTATCTTCAGATTATATCTGGCAACTGTGTGTTTCGATCACTAAGCGGTGACTTTAGATGTTACCCAGATAACACAAATACATTTTGGATAATCTTCTGAGGAGGACCTATTGATGTACTGCTAATGTTCAGAGGTAACCCTAGGACGTCAACCTGTTACCATTTTCTACACGCAAAGGACCTCCCAGAATATCCCAATGAAAGCTTCCAGACGTCTCAGGAACTATCTGAGGAAGGAAGTTCTGAATGATATATACACTTATGACGCGAGGCAGCCGTAGAACGTCTCTTGGACGTCCATCTGTTACCATTTTCTACAAGCAATAACATATCCTCTCACAATTAACCATGGTCGTCCTGATGATGTTTCACAGACCTTATGAGGAAATCGTATTTCACATCTCAATAAAGATTGTATTGGGAAGAGCTTGATACCATAATGAAAGAAGTTTTTTTTTTGTTTTTTTAGGTACCTAGTGTGTTATCAATGAAGGTTTTGATGACATTTCGAGATGGTCCATAGGTTGTCCTCAAGTTTTCTGATTCAGCTCATTATAAGTGAAAATTCGCAGCCTTACAACATAATACGTTATTCGGATGAAGAAAATAGGATGTCATTCTCAATCTTTTAATGACATTTTCAGGATGTCCCTAGATTCGTATATATAGATGTAACCAGGCTGTCCTCAGCTTGATAACGTTCTTAGGATGAACCAAATAGGACGTCTTGTTGAGCCTATTGGCAACATTTTTAGGATATCATAGCCTGACATCCTTGAAATTTTGCTTGTATAAATGAAATGATGACCAAAATAAATTTCCTCTCTGAGCAATACATATCTGCAGAGGCAAAAATGTTGAAAATTATATGCAGGGTCGCGTAGATTTCATAGCGACAGTATTGCTGTTTCCTATATATACGGTAAGAGATAGAAAATTAATCAAATCATACTAGAGTTCAAACTTCCGCAATCATTTCGCAAACTGATGAAAAACATTCAGCCGTTTTGTTTCAGACATATTTCAGCTGAATAAAGTTTTTTATTTTCTCACATTAGTTTGCACACCAACAGGATGGTAATACAAATAAAAAAGAGTGAAACACGTAAGTAAAAATCCAAAAATATACAAGTAATATGAAGAATAAAAAATATATAGATGAAATGACGAATACAAATAAATAAAACTGGATATGAATATAGAAACATCACATACACATCATAAATTACAAATCACAAATATAAATAATTAAAATTAATTTAAGATGTATATAAAACATACACGTCACATATAAATGGCAATAAAAACGATATCAACGATTTTCAATTTTTGTTTCAGGAACGGCTAAAATTTTTTCAGTTTGCAAAACGTTTACCGTTTAGCAAATAGCAATACTGTCACTATGAAATCGACGAAACCCTGTACAGTAAAGGAATGATGGATGTGTTTCTCAATTCAAAAATACTGCTTTGAAATTAATTATTACACTACCAGTGAACAGTTGCGAAACAGAGCGTTTATTTTCAAAATTAACAATAATTGAAATCAAATATTGGACTGTACAACCTATACCTAATACCTAAGAAAAGATAACAAACTTTTGAAATGCCTTCTATCGAAAGTGGTTTCATAAGTTTGAATTATGATGGTGGAAATAATTTGCAGATTTGAAAATCAGACAATAAAGAGTGATATGCTAATATGTTTCTCCTAGTAATTCAGTTATGGTTTAGTTCTTGAATGTACATTCCATTTTGTACGTATCAGATATACACTGCATGCTATTAGTTACGTTAATCTTATTTTGTGTGGTTTTAATTTTTCTCATTAGTTTGTACCTATTTTCATCATGCATTTTTTATTTGTATTTGCGGAGAAAATATCAGATGGTGTGCTAATTGAAAAATGACGAGAAAAAAAAAGGAGAAAAAATCATGGTAGGGGCAGGGGCCCCAAGAATTATTATGCTTAGAGCCCTAGAAATCGTAGATTCGCCACCGATCACGAGAATTGTTAGATTGACAAATAATGAGAGTCAGTTTACTAAGCCCAACTACGCTACACAAACTTAACGATTTTATTGGACTACCGTCGCTTCATCGCAATCACGCCAGATCCGTAATTTTCACGAGTTCCGTTTCAGCTGTGTACGATGACTCTATCACCGAAGGTTTCGTCAAGACTGTCCAATGTTTGTTATCGCGTCCTCCGACCAGAAGTGTTTACATCGCTCTGGAGAAGCGATACGTTTTCACTGTGGCCGACCTTGAGAGTGTCGCCCCTTGCTTCGAGTTTTTCCTCGAGTGTCTCGGAAACTTGGAAAACGTTACGTGTCAAGAGCTTCAGCTGGATTTTCCTAAGTATTTCGAGTACGATAGGGTGAAAGAATTGGTTATGTGGAAGGTGACATCGAACTTCGAATGAAAAAGGTACAGTACTCACTAGGTTTCATCTGTGCTACAGTATTTTGAAATAAACGTTCGATAATAATTATGAAAAATCATAAGATGCTCATATGTACACTTGTATACAGGGTGAGTCATGACTAACCAGCCATAGCCTAATGGCGGATAGCGGAGGTCAAGGTGAGTTGATATACAGGGTGTTTCATAATTGAATGCTGATCCTTAAGGGCGATAATCCTTGGATGATTTCAAAGAGAAAAGTTCATATCAACATATGTCCTGAACTTGTTAGTTATTGAGCTACAGGGTGATGAAATTTCGAGAAAAAAATGAGTTTTTCATCATAATTTTTTATCACTCTTAGATATTGTTATGATATTTTGTATACATACACCTTTTCATTATCAAGGAACATTTTTTCACGTGAAAGACATTTTAAAATTCTCACCAGTGGCGTCCGTACGGGGTTTGAACTGACAATTTTTGAAGAAAAAAATAGTACGCCAGTGATTTTTCTGGGAACCAGATTTTTTTTTCAATTCTCATTCATTCTGGAGCAAATTTGGTTCCCAGACTTACTTTCATACAACGTACCGTTTTCGCGAAAAAAAAATAAAAACCAAAGCATTTTGTTCCTTCAGTTCTTGGATATTGTTTTTGTTAATTCAGTAGACACCCACTATAATTGGAAACACATTTTGTTTTGGAACGAAAATCAAACTTTTACTTTTACCAGTGATGTCCTCGTAGACCTGATATTGAATGTTTAGTTTAAAAAAACGCTGTACGCTTCGGATTTCAACACCCTGTAGCTCAAAAACTAAGAGGTTCAGGACATATGTTGATATAAACTTCTCTCCTCAAAATCATCCAAGGATCAGCGCCCTTTAGGATCAGCATTCAATTATGAAACACCCTGTATATGTAAAAAAATATTTTTTGCCTATTCTTTACAGAAATACAGGGCATTATTTGAATTCGGGGCAAACTTACACTAGCAACTTACCTCTACTGACACTCCACAAGATGACGTACTATGAATGAAAAATTCCAGATCCGGACTTGGAAAACTCATTTTCTCTTCAGATGTCAAAATTTTGACCTTCTGGATCGGATTTTTCGAATACTTTTATCAGAATCAGAAAGATCAGGAAAAATACTACAAGTTTGGCTTTTCAATTCGTACGGCACACATCGATCGTTTTGGTAAAAAAATATCAAACAAAATACCGATGAATTTTTCTTCGATTCCGTCTGGGCTCTACATTCGACTAAAAGTAATTAAATCAATTTTTTTCCTGGAATGATTCAACAGCAGACTTGAGAAAAGGGATAATTCAATAAAAAATCCAGGACCGGACTTGATTTTGGATAATATCAATTATAATTTCCGAAAAAGATTTGTCTGGATCTTAATATTAATCAAGATTCTCGATCTCTTATGGCTCTTCCAATAATTTGCCTATTATTTCTGATTATATCTGCAGCTGTAACTATCCTCTCCCAATTTTCAATTGAAATCTAACTTCTACTTGTGATAATGTGTAAACATTGTATTCAATAAGAACAATTGTTGCTTTGGTAGCAGATTTTTTTTCGAACCAGATATACGTGCCAACTTATACTACATGGAGGGATTTTGATTTGAAGTAATACTGAATATGATCTCATTTCTTGTGAACTCTCCCAATCAGCAAATCATTAGTCATTCGAGGTAAGTTGCTAGTGAATTTCAGCCGATAACATCGAGACGTTCCTGAAATATCGTTCATTGGAGTTTTGCCCCGAATTCAAATAATGCCCTGTATTTAGATAGATAGATAGATATATAGATAGATAGATAGATAGATTTTTATTTCCCAAAGGATTCAGATTTGTAATATATCTGCAGATAACAGGTATACCTATACAGACACATAATATTAAGAAGTATAACAGTGAAATTATATCTCGGTGTATCTTTATCGCATAGAGCTTAGGGAAAATGGCTAGACAAGTCGCATGCAATATAAGTTATCTATGTGAAGAAAAGATGACTGAAAAAGCTAGATATCATAAAACCAATGTTACAGACATGATTATAGTATATGCATGGTAATATTAGAAAATGGTATTGAAAAATTCATCCAGGTTATAGAAACTATGTTGGTGTAATAATTTTTTCAACTCGACCTTGAATTTATTCATAGATAGTGCTTTCAATACTTCCGGTAGGTGATTATAAATATTAATAATTAATATTATGTAAAGAATGGGCAAAAAATATTTTATTATATATAAATCAACTCACCTTGACCTCCTCTACCCGCCATTGGGCTATGGCTGGTTAGTCATGACTCACCTTGTATAAGTAGGAGAGACGGCTGCAGATTCTTACCTCTCAGGTTATTTGAGTAATCTTTTTCCATCAATAATGATTTTTTACTTTCTATAAATTTGCTGATGTTGAAGGATTAATCCTTCAAAACATGTCCTGTTGTCCATGACCATTGGTCGTTATCAAACTGTCTATGTGGTGGAGTTGAAACTGTAAGTTCTTTCATGCCTCCTGATAAACAATCATTTTCACTTCTATAAAAACGAATTTCGATTTCGTGAATCTTGAACTTATTGTTCAATTACACGATTTGGCGTTTTGGAAATGAGCAAGCTAGAAAATTTGTTGGAACAAGTTATTTTTTCCCAAAAACTATTTTTCTTGAACACTTGTTAAATTTAACAATTTCCTAATGTGATGGTACTGTGTGATATTGAAATAATTCCCATTGTCATTCACATTTTTATACAATCAGCGACACTTTTAGGGCTCCAGACGAAACGAAAATCATAAGAGGAGATAATATTCCGAGAATATTATGGAAGAAATGGAAATATTAGAATGATACACTGTGATAGTCTATGCAGATATCGTTCCGTTCAAGAAATTGGAATCCAAATTTTTAAAAGCAAGAGATTCCCGGTCAACTGGTTTGCCAGACCTATATCCTATCGATTATGTTCAAAGCAGTTCAAGTTCCACTGGGAGCGAAAGATTCTTCAAATTCAATAGATTGTTTTTTAAATATTCAAGCCTTTGTGATTTACTTATCAGATATTTAATAAAACCTACGTTTCCTTTTTTTCATCGCTTGTTTTTGGTGTATATTCTTTTACATTCCCAATCATATGCGGCTATTGAGTGACATTTTGAAATTGGTGATAAAATAATAATTGGATTTTGGATTTTGCATCCCTTAAGTACATCAGGGTGTTTGTTTCAAATTCCGCATTTGTGATTATATTGCTCATTTTTGAATCAGAATGAAAATTCAAAAACCAAAATCATGTTTGACCGCTATAAAGAATCTCATCCTTAAATGAATATAAAAAATTGTAGAAGTCATCCATATATATTGTGTTAAATCTGGCCCGAATCAAGGTGAACATCGAATAAAACTCAGTTTCAGCCGTTTTAAACCAAATATTTCATTTACCAGGCTTCTTGGCCTAATTACGTTTTTGATTTTGTAAAATCTCTTTTTTGATGGTTTCAATGTGACTATTGTAAGTTTTTGTTTCATAGTGACGATTTCAATTTCCACATTCATAATTTATTTTAGGTACTGCACAGTCTGATGATGGCCGTTGGGCCGAAACCGGTCACTGTTTTTCCATATAGTGTGGTCGACTGACTTCGAAATTTGTGTTTTTCTTTTCAGAATACCAAAAAGTACGCTCCAGGTTTATTAACACATGATAAGATGTTAGTAACTTCCGTTGAAACGGAATGTTACTGAAATCTGTCAAAATTTCATTTTGAATCACTTGATAGATGGCCTGGTTGTCGAAAACACTCGGTAAAGTTTGGTGGTTCAGAATCCAAAATCCCTCCAGGAAATTCCCGACCTCGTGATGAATACATAATGAATACATAATGGTCACATGGAATAATCCAAAGATCCTGAGCTGTATTGACGGAACGAACATGGAAACTTGAAATTTCCATAACACTAATTTCTCAATCCACGGAATCTAAAATTCACGAGTATCGAGAAATTCAAAGGAAATGCTTATACCCGAAGTTTATGAGAAATAGCAATGCCAAGTGCAATCTACTTGAGGAACAATCGAGTCTTGTGACCTTGTATGATTATCGTTGAAGCGAAATATAGCTCGGAATATGTTGTATAGAATTTTGGATGATGAATACCCCTTTAGTGAATAATAGCAGCCACGATATACAAAGCTATATGTTTCCTGGTAGTTTAAAAACCTGAACGTACGATCCAATGAAATACAAATTGGTGGAAAAATCATACATACCAGTGGAGTGACGTCCATAGAAGCTAGAGAAGCTGGAAAGCACAGCTTCTCTTGAAAAAAATCTGTTTCAGTTTTAACTACTTGTATTGAGATGGTGCTATGGTATGTTGATATAGTAGGATACCTTGGATATATTATTCTGCACATCACCGATATTTCAGATCCTGATAAACTAAATAATATTGGTTGTTTTATCGAAAGTTCTAATAGTGCTCTCTTGAATAACTGGAGGATAATTGAATCATTAAAACTGGAATATATTGTCAATTATGAAACACTGATTTAGTAATCAAAAATAACTGGTTGTTTCTTGCGCGTGAAAGATACGATGTTACATTTTCCTATGTTTACAGGAAGTAGATTGAACTAGCACCAATTATGAAGAATTCTCAGATCTTCTTGCAGTGTCAAGCTGTCAGTTACGTTTTCGATTTATAATTTACATTCATCCGCGTATAGTGAAAGATTACAATTCAGTTTAAGTCCGATGTCGTTTACAAATATTATAAATAACAAGGGGCCCGAAACAGAGTCTTGCGGGACACCGGAAGTTGCAGTTATTTCGGTTGATCGGTGACCACGGTATACCACTCTAAGAGTTCTCTTGGTGAGATAAAAATAAAAGAACTTGATGAGATCGCGAGTAAGACCAAAACAGGTGAGTTTTCTGAGGAGAATACCATAATGGCGGAAAATGGACCATTATAATTTTCGTCGATCGCTAGCTAAAGGTATTTGAGAAACTCACGAGGAAAATACCAAGTGAAGACCTGTCCGATGGAATGTAAACAGGAATGAATTCTCACGATTTGATGGTAGGGATCATGAATGTATATATCAATCAAGTACAACGTAGGTTTGCACCATAAAACTTGTTTTTTCGAGTATAATACTCAGTAATAATCGAGGTAATGATCATTTACCCATACATTTCTATCACTTTGTATTTCTATCTCCAACTTATGAATGAAAATATTATTTCTACAGAGTATCTCACTATTACACCTCATTATACCATTGTCCTTTATGAAGGACAGGTATTATCTACAAAATTGACAATTATACAACTGAAAGTTACAGAGAGGAGTTGTTCATGAGGTCATAATTGTTGATTGTGTGAAAAGGAAAATTGGTATATTTGGAAAAATATCATTTCGGGAGTATCTGGGTTAATACGATTTATATCCCATCATTTTCCATCTAACATTGTTCATAGTAGATAAAAGACAATAAATTATTGTACATCGTATATTGGGATCAAAAGTGATACTCTCCTAAAATACGTCGTATTTGAGAAAAAAAATTGAACATTTGTGTTTGAGAAAACTTATGTATATAATTATCAGAGAGCACAATTATGCATGAATGCTAATTATCGTCCTCCTTTTTACCGTATTTTCGTTACAGGATATTTTTTTACCTTCGAATATTTGCACATCATTGAAATAGTACATTAAACATCAAGGGACAGAAATGCAAGATTTTTTCCAAGGTGCGATTTGTAGCTCGAGGGCAAAAACACAAATATTAAGAAAGAATAAAAATTTGGTCACGGTGTTTTGTCATAATTAGTAGTAGTATAGTTTGTGGAACTCGTATCTTGACAACATGCATCTTGTTGACAACCCATGGTGACAGCAAATATCAAACTGAAATTGATGAAAACAGCTTTGAAAATGGTTAACGGTTATGGAACAAGGAATCGTGGAAAAACCCCAAGAAACTATTGATACTGCTTCTGCAGTGATTCTTTTCTCGTTACCAGTGAGATCTAAAAAATCTGTATGATACAGCTTATACTCGCTCCAGAGAAGGGTGTCCTGAAAAGAATGCGCAGAGCTATGCGGAAAATGTAAAATGGTATAAACTCCCTAGAGAGAAACTAATTTTTCTACTACTGCTATGAAAAGTAGCGCATTTCTCATAGCTAACTCAGTTTCAAAACCATGTATAACTCATACTGTGATAAATATTTTTTCTCACGGCACTTTGCCAACACCACATACATTTCCATGGAGAATCAACAAAAATCGACCAAAACTTGGCTGCTGTTCAGCTTTGAATAGTTGTCACAACTGTCAGAAGAAGTTTTTTAAATTCTTTAGGGTAGTTCTCATTAGTGCTTTTGATAGAAATCGCAATTTCCATCGAATATTATTCCAACAATTCATAATGAATAATATGATGTATATACCGAGATGTGACGATTTTGATAAATACACCGCCAGAGACAGAGATAATGGAAGAAGCTGCGAAAGTTGGATTTGTTTCCGGAAATTTCAAGGAAAACGTATGAATTGGCATAAACGAAAAATTTATGGAATCTAAAAAATACAGAAATTAAATCTCTTTCGGGAAGTGTACTTTTATGAAATACTTTGAGGAACTAGGAAAGGCGTCTACTCTTTGGTCACAATATTCAATGTGGCATAGTGAACATTATAGGGATTTCCTTTCGTGCGCTCCAAGCGATAAAAACAGTGCAGTTGAAAAAAAAGGATAGTGTGCAACATGTGGGGAAAAGCACATTTCTCACTCGTGTGTTTGCATCACTCGCCCTTCAGGCTCGTGCCACAAACTTACACACTTGTTGCACAATATATACTATTCTACTCTCGCCGGCGCAAAAGGTCACTTCTGCACTCTTGCTCTCAGTCTCCAAACATTGTATTAAACCAGTAAACCGTCCTTACACAACCAATCCTCAACTTTCTTTCGAAAATAACTCGGTATACAGTCTGTCCAAGATAACGTTGAACAGCATGGGGATCTCGTAAACGGTAAGAAATACGAAGTCGGTTAAATGGGGAAAAAGTTGCGCATTCGGAGGCTCATATCAAGAGCCTTCGAAAATTTTAAAAATTATCTTTAGTTTTTGAGTTATATCGAAAAAAGTGAATTTTTGGAATATCTATTTTATTTTTTTTCTCCGTTATTATTGGAGATACAGCAAAACTGAGAATACTTTTTCATAGCAACTTTTGATGACGTTCATTGTGGTGATACCGATTTCTCTATGCAACGTTTCGTATTCGTGGAACCATCATCAACTTTTGTTTTTTAAATACGGTCCTGATAATTTTTTCACAGATTCTGAAAGGTTTTTTCATTCTGAATTCAACCATGTATTAAACAAAGTGGTTTATGTGTGTTTCGACCTATTTTCAGCCATCATCAATGTTTTTTCGAAATTCCAAAGAAAAATGCCATCAGTTCCACTTATTTTGAAGGAAAATTAGTCAACACACCAATACCTCATCAACTGATTTCAATCAACAACCCATTTCATTTTGCGGAAACAAAAATTCCGTCCATAAAAATTCAGAATATGTCAAGCGCTAAAACCAGGCGATGACGAAAGGCGCAGGACATTCTGTGAGTGGTATACCAGGAAATGTTAAAATTTTGCAGATTTCCCTCGAACAATCATCTGGACTGATGAAAGCATGGTCCCTAATCATGGTAGCTTCGATAGAAACAATACACATTATTGTTCACGAGAAAATGAACATTTATACATTACAGCGAGACACCAACACCGTTTCGGCTTTAATATGTGGTTTGCAATATTTGGTACACGAATTATTGTTCCTTCTATTTACCATGAAACACAGTCTTCCGAACGTTATAGAAATTCGCTTGAGATTCATCTTGAGGAAGCTCTGGATGATTTACCGATTGCGGAAGTTCAGAACTGTTGGTTTCAACAAGATGGCGCTCCGGTACATTAGTCCAGAGAAGTCGGTGAGTTTTTATCCCTTGGCCGGCGCGGTCGCCTGATTTGACACAGCTGGATTTTTTCTTGGGGGATATATCGAACT